ATAATATCCTATAGAATAGTTTACGTTAGCAAGTATAGCAGGTCCACACCGTAAAAAGTACAACCACAGTATTCATTTGCCACTAAATGTGGTAATGCAAAGTAGAATGTTGTTTGGCCCATTATTACTATTATTTCATGAAAGACCACTGAGTAAGGAAAATCAAATATTTACTATCTGTTTTAAAATTAGTGCTGTGTCATGTATTGGGATACAAAGAATTAGAAAACTATTGCCACAGCCTTTAAAAGTTTAAAATATATGCAACCAGGAAGTAATATAAAAGCCAACTAGGAAAAGTTCAGTAGAGCATAAAACAGCATGAGAATGGGGCACCTAAGGGCGCCTGGGTGGCTCAGTCAGTTAAGCAACCGACATTAGTTCAGGTCATGATCTCGCAGTTTGTGAGTGTGAGCCCTGCGTAGGGCCCTGTGCTGACAGCTCGGAGCCTGAAGCCTGCTTCAGATTCTGTGTCTCCCTCTCTCTCTGCCCCTCCCCCACTTATAATCTGTCTCTCTTGCTCTAAAAATAAATAAACATAAAAAATAAAATAAAATAAAAAAGAATGGAGCACCTGGGTGGTTTTGTCAGTTAAGCATTTGTCTCTTGATTTTGGCTCAGGTCATGATCTCATGGTTTGTGAGTTCGAGCCCTGCATTGGGCTCTGTGCTCACAGCGCAGACCCTGCTTGAGGATTCTGTCTCTCCTTCTCTCTCTGCCCCTCCCCTGCTCATGCTCTCTCCTTCTCAAAAAAATAAATAAATAAATAAATAAACGTTAAAAAAACAATGGCATTAGAATACAAGCAAAAACATGGTGTAATGCAAAATAGAACACAGAATGAGAAAATGATCGAATTTCCAAAAGTGGAAAGGCCAACGAAGACCAGGAAGGCTTCAAAAAGAGGGGGCGGGGCTAACTGTGACACAGCTGGAGAAATAACATCTGAGATGATTTTGGTGATTAAGACACACACTTATGAAGGCCTGGACTCGGGTAATAGCACAGACAGCACATTTAAAAGCATGAATCTGAGATTTATTTTGAAGACAGCGTCGGCTAGTCTCATGACTAACTGGATGGAGGGATAGAGAGAATGTGGCAACTCCCACCTACATACGAGGCTCGGGATGGGATGACTGAAGCCCCAGCTTGAAGACAAGGCTGAGTCTGGCTAACCACTGATAACTACAAGTGGTCCAGGTAGAGACTAGTCAGTGCCCAGCACGGGGCCACCAAGGAAGAGAAAAATGTGTTATTATGCAGAAGATCCAACAGCTAAGACTGGTACTAAGAAAGATGTCAGTGCCTCTAATAACAGCACAAGTACCAAAAAAGCTGAAAGAAATAACTTCTTGGGACCAGAAAAATATTGGGGCAATTGATCAGGACACAAGCATTACCTAGAGGAGTCAGTCTGGGAATGAAAGGTGATGACCAAGTCAGTTGTACAGAAGGGGGGTGCAGGGAGCATCTACTGCCTTATGAGCAGCTGAACATGGAGAACTCTTATCAAGACAGCCGAGTTGAAACCAATGAGAACAAATGAGTTTCCTTTCCCCTTGGGAAAAAACAAAATTACAGCTTAGAAGAGAGATGGTGAAAAAGATGCAGAAGTCAAGAGAGGGGAGTTTGAAGGAATAGCCTGAACAGAATCAGAGGAACAGAGTGGTTGAGGAGATATTTCGTGTATAAAGCTTTTAAGAGAGAAAAACAAAGCTTTCAGAGTACATGTGCTCAACCAGATGGACAGAACAGTTTCAAACGTGAAGAATTATGCCTGGTTTTAGGTGATAAATTGAAGGATAACGTAGAAAGAACAAGCCACATGACATAATCCTAACATAAAAGCATTAAAGCATGACTCAGAGATTTAACCCACAGAAAGTTATTAATAGGTCCTCCCTGTTTGCAAAATAGTACAAACATGACATGCTGCCCAAAACAAAAAAACCTTTATTCTTCCTCTCTACCTTTTTAAAAACATGGATTAAAACAAAAGTCTTTATCGATTTCAATGTCCATTTCAACCCATATCCAAGAGTGAATAATCAATTTCAGTGGCCAATCATTTTAGCTTAACGATAACCTACAACCCTCAGACCAACTACAATGGCCAATCATTTTAAACTTTGCTTTGTTGGAATTTATGGAATGTATTCCATTTTTCTTTTTCTTTTTTAACTTGAAAAGCTTTAAAGTTTGAAAGCTTGGTAACAAGTGGTATTACCACAGTCCAGAGATCTGTTATTAAGTGACAGCCCCTCACCCCTTCTTTTTAAAATATTCCACTGCCATTATAGTTTTTGCAAAGCACAGTTTAAGGGTAGTTGCTCGAGTGTGCCCTTTGATTTTTCAGCACTTGAAGATTTTTAAAAAATCCTTATAGAGTGTAAGGCATGATTTAAGTTAGATGCTAGGTTTTAGAGGACTCTTTTACAAACGTATGTATGTGTGCTCATATGTATGTTTATGGTGTTATTTATAAAGACTGAAGAGAGCCTCTTAAGATTTAGTTGCTGCTATAATGGCTTAAATGGAAAAACTTAGGCAAAAGTCACTGTTTACAATCTAGAAAGAAAATTCAATTAATGCAAATAAAAAATAAAAATTAGGACTGATATATTTCATTATGATTTTCAACAACAACAAAAAGATCAGAATTAAGGAAGCCATGATATTTAACATGGGAGGGTAAGAAGAAATACTATGTATGTTATGTGCTAGCTCACCAAAAAGTCAAGTTGTAGTAACAGGATAATACAATCAACTTAAAATGACTTTGACCCATATAATATAACCGGAGGAGCATGATGGGTTGGTCTCTTAGCAAATACCTTTTCCCAACAATCCCTGTATCACAGTTCTACAGTCTTTGTCTCTTCTATCTTCCCGGATAGACCTCTACATCCTCTATTGGGAATCTCCAGTGGCACGTGACACCCACAGGCTGGTGAGGTGCTTCTATGGCTTCTCACCGCCCCATGTGCACACCCTGTGAACACCACCTCATATTATAATTACTGCGGGTTTACCCCTCATCCCACTACACTGCAGCTAGCCCTGGAATGTTGGGTCTTAATCTCTACCTGTCTTTTGAAAACAATATCTGGCAAATAAGGTTTTTGAATTTATAAATTAATGAGTCATTTTCTGCCCTGTGGATATGAGTGAAAATTGGGTCTACATCTTACAAAAAAAACCTAAGCCACTAAACATACAAAGCTAGACAACTTGCAGAGGTGCAAAGCTATACATTTTACAACTTTATAGCATAAGCAGTGAAATCATTTTTGTTTGACCAGCATGTTCATGCTTTCCACAAAAAAAAAAAACAAACCTCACAGTGCTTGGCTTTGAAACAAACTCAAACAGAAAGATAGGAGTTAATGTGTAAAAGCTAATTCACAAAGGGATTTAGATTGTAACAGAGTAGTCTCCTGACACTATGCAGCTACTTCTCACACAGACATAAATCCACACTGCAGCTCGAAGGAGAGATTTGATAGGGTGAGACCTGATCCAGCTGGAGGAGGCAGAGAGGGGAGAGGTTCAAGTGCTAACCCCTGGATGGATCCAAACAGAGTGTAATGCCCACTGTCTCAGAGCAGCGCGCCGTTTCTTCTTTTTTGCTTATCTGGAGTCTCTTTCTGCTTCGGTGACTCTGCCTTTCTTCTGTTCTGATCCACTCATCAAACCAACCTGAATCAGGGAGCGGTGGGTATCACTCCCAGGAGGAAGATACCCAGGCTTCAGAGTGCTTCTGGGAAAGCATGAGCCTGATGGCCACACACAGCCCTGCCTTCCACGAACCCACCAGCCTGCAGGAAGCCTATCAGACACAGGGCACTTCATGCCTGGGTGGAAAGGTGAGGCACAGAAAAGCAGCAGGGCTCGTTCTCTTACACCAAGCTGTTGAAATCTGTGTGGAAAAGACCCTGGCAGTAAAATAGCTGACCTTGCATGACCATTTTGGCAAGGGAGAGAAAGAGACTTGCATTGAAAGAATTAACTAACGTCAAGAGACTTGAAAATCAGCTTCCAGCGAATTTCACAGATTTGGGTGTGTGAATAAGAACGATAGAAGAGATGGGGTTGCGGGTGCTGGGTTCTCCAACCGAAACATGAACTCTTACAAAATGCAGTGGAACTCTAGAAAACTTACGGGCCATCCCCTGGAAACATGGCGGCAACCTCAGTCCTAGTTTTCAATTATAAGACATTCTAGAAACACGGAGATGCACTGACAGGCATTTGATCTTTGCAAGGGACATAAGGAGAGGACCCTGTTTTAGCAGTTTTGCATAAATGGACATCAAAGGAAAGGAGGAGTGAGCACTAGCATCCTTGCTCAATGTTCTGGAAAACAATAATGCTATATCTTGGCTTCCTGGTGAGGTAGTCCCCAGGACCCAGGTCTCCAGGTGATTACGTGGCAGTACCATAGCTGCTCACCATTCACAAAGACCTTAGGCGACAAGAGAAAAATCTGGGAGCTCAGCACCAGGTTTTGCACTTTTTCCTGACAGCGTGCTGGTGGCATCTGTCTACAAATTCAACAGCAGCGTTACTTTCACATGGCAAGCAAGAAGTGCCCTGGCAGTGCGTATGCTCGTGACTGCTCACATAAAAAAGAGCCATAAGGTAACTGTACTTTTTTTTTTTTTTTTTAAGCTGTAATATGTAAGCTTGGCCCTCACACCTCTCCATAATTACATTCTCTCCGATGCCACATTAAACTGTGATTACGAGAAAAGAAGTGAAAACAACCTGAATCCTGGGCTGGCCTTTACTGTTGCTTATAATTTAGCCCCTGTGTTTCTATCACATACTAAGTTGTGTTTCACATCCCTCTGTACAACTCATGAAGGCACGCTAGACACCATGTTGTTACAGTGATGTCCACTGGCTCAACGGTAAGCGTCCATTAGCCCAGAGGTGAAAAGCAACATCTGGACAGCAGTGTCCCCGCAGGACCGACGAGGGCTGGGGACGGGTACCTAGCTGCTTGTCCCGCTCCTCACGCCGCTCCCGGGCCAGTCGCTGTCGGTCGTCAACCCGCAACACGGGAGGAGGGTCTGCAAAGGAGAGAAACACATGAGCAGAAGAGCAGATTTTCTGACACCGCTAGTACTGATACATAGCTTTTGGTACAGTAAATTTGATGGATAAAATATTACTATGTCTTACAACAATTACCATATATATACATGACTATAGTTCCAGTGATACACTTTATTGTTACTTTTTTTCTGAGAATTTCCAAGCATATTTCTTCTGTTCCAAGACATTACATAAAAGAGTATATCCTAAGACTTCTCATCACAAGGAGGAACACCTCCCCCACCCCCATTTCTCTATAAGATGATGGATGTTAACTGACCTGACTGGGGTGATCATTTCACAATACAGGTAAGTCACATCATTATGCTGCATACCTTCAACATATGGGTATGTCAGTTCTTCCTCCACAAAAATGGGAAAAAATTCAAAAAAGGAAAAAAAAAAAAAAAGACACACAGCCTAAAAAAAATCCCTGTTATGTAAAAGCATGACATAACTGTAGCCTTTTGGCTGTTTCTATCAAACAATATACACGATGCTTTGTGTCCCTAAGCTAGTGAACTTCTATCATGTTTATGCTTTAAGGAGGCTGCTCCTCAACAGCAAACAGAATCTTAAGTGAATTTCTACTGAATACACTATTCAGTGAGTACTGATAGAGGTTCACCAGTTGGATGTAAAAAGCCCAGCTTTGAAGTCACACAGGCAAGAGTTCACTTCCTGTTCTGTCTGGCACTCAATATGTAAATCTGGCTGACACACCTACCTCTCTAAGTCCCAAGTTATGTAGGACATGGGCGTCACGGGTTTTTGTTTATTACCTATAAGGATAAAAATAGAACCTATCTCACATCACTGTAAGAATTCAATGAAATACTTGAAATGGCGTTAGTATGGTGCCTCACCCACAAGCCTCAGTAAATTAATTCACTCACTGAACATCAACTATGCACCAGGCATTGTTCTATGTGCTGAAAAGAAAGCAGTCAGGGAAATAAAACAACTACTCCCTGCCCTCGTTGGAACTGCATTCTACTCCGGGAAATTTGACAAACAGGATGAAAAAGAGATATACAATGAGGGGTGCCCGGGTGGCTCAGTTGAGTAAGTGTGTGACTTCGGCTCAGGTCACGATCTCATGGTCCATGGGTGCGAGCCCCGTGTTGGGCTCTGTGCTGACAGCTCAGAGCCTGGAACCTGCTTTGGATTCTGTGTCTCCCTCTCTCTCTGTTCCTCCCCTGCTCGCTCGTACTGTCTCTTTCTCTCAAAAATAAATAAAGATGAAAAAAAAAAGAGAAAGATATAGAATGAAAACAAGAGAAAGATATATTGAATGCTGCATTAAGATAAACGCTAAGGAGACAAAAAAAACAAGAAAGGGGACTGTGATAATGGCAGGAAAGGTACACTTAAGCTTTTTAGACAAGGGATCGTAACTTTTCGTGTGTAAAGACCTGATGAGACTGACAGCTAACTATGCAGGTGTTCTAGGAGGTGGAAAGCAGGCACAAAGGCCCTGAAATCACAAGCACCTAATGTGTTAAAGAAGTGAGGAGATCAAAGAGCCTGGAATGGAGCGAGATCAGAGAGCACTGGGGCCAGACACGCAAGGGCCAGGGCACGGGGCGCGTTGGTCCTGGGAGGGACTCTGGATTGTACTTGGACTGAGATGCTGCTGTGGGCTTCCCAGCAGAGAACTATACTAACAGGCTCACTCTGGCACTATATAAAAAAGCAAAATTAGAACAATAATACTGATGAGAATAATGACCTTAAAATCAGGTTTATTTCCCCCCTCTCTTAAATTGACATATTTTTAAAGATCTCATGTTAAATATAGAAACTTACCAGTGCAGTACTAGACAGCATGGTAGTGCTTCAGCAACACATTTGCAGGCTTTATATCCCAGAGGCCTCTTAAATGTCACAGAATTTGCACATTTAGGGGAAATAAAACTTGTACAAAAACCCCTTGGGAGCCTGCATAAAGCTGGCAGCAAGAGCTTGGAGCCTGTTTCAGATTCTGTGTCTCCCTTTCTCTGATCCTCCCCTGTTCATGCTATCTCTCTCTCTCTCAGAAATAAATTTAAAAAAACATAATTTTTTTTTTAAAAAGCTGACAATGAGAATCACGAGCAAGACTAAGTGGTAATACTTTATAACCTTCTTTTGTTTTAAGGTATGATTTTTAAAAACTGGTAAAAGGATCCCTCAGTAGCTCACACTTATGATAATTATGTATCAGATCTGCTTATTATTTATGAGATTTCAAATCTTTTTTATGTAAGAAAATATTGCTCCTGGCCCCAAAAGGCTTACTTCTGAAGTTTGAAAAAGGGCATGTGGATTCCTGCTCAGGCACTTTGTTAAAGGCCACACACCAGGGTGTTTTACTGTCATTTGTTTTTGGTGAAAAGAAATGACAGCATGCCAAGTGGCATTTTGAAAACAAGAGCTATCTAAGAACAAGTCAAAATGGAGTTAGATCGCTAACAATTAACTCACCACTTTAGTAATATTCCTTAAACAATGAGGTTTACTTGTTCATAAATTTAACTATAAAACTCAATCAGCTTTACTAAAAAATACATGTAAGTACATTACAGAAAGTCTATAAAAAAAGAATTTACTTTGAATTACACTTACAATTTTGTCACAATCTATCGATATGAAGGTTGTGATGCTTCTAGCTTACTTTCAAGTGTATGCAAACTCCATGCAAACTTTTTTAAAACGTTGGAAAGTATGAGAAATGCACACTTACCCTCACGTGCTCTCTTCTATCTAAACCAATTCTGAGAGCCCCTAACCAGTAATTGGTTATCAATAATCCAGCAAAACTTGCCTTTTAGATACATTTTTGGAAAACAGCAGTGCAAGAGGTGTTTTTTCTTTTCTTTTTTTTTTTTTTTTGCAAGAGGTGGTTTTATACTATCAATTCATATGAAGATTATGCTCATCACAAGTAACAAACTGTATCCTGCCTGATCACACAATTTAAAAGAAACAAGGTTGTACATAGAGCTGCACAAACATACCAATTAACCCCTATAAATAAGGCCAATGCTTACAAGTGCAATGATTCCCACTGACCTTTGAGATTAGGGCTGAAATGATAATCACTATCCATTTGGAATTAGATTTGAGGAAGTAAAGAAGTAGGGTGTAGTGACTGTGATATGCTAGATGATTTTGGTTGGTTTAGGAACCTGGCATTAGCAAATGTGAATTGTAGAGGGAAAAAGGCATTCAGTTTAAATTGTTTCCACCCTTATGATTACATCAAGAGAGAGTCACTTTGGTGCTAGGATGCCAATAATACTTAGGGCAGATGAAAGACGGCTATGAATGGGGGTCTGGAGGAACAGAGCCTTGTTGGTTTTGTTCACTGCTTACTCCCAATGCCCAGAACTTCACTTGGCAGAAAGGAGAATATTCAGTAAGTACCTGTTGAACAAATAAGCAAACAACCTTAGCTAATCTTCAGAGCCTTTACACTTCCACAAGCACACACCAGTGGGGGCAAACAAATAGCAATCTTGTATTTGGTAACAGACTTGAAAAAAATATAAATGTCAGCAGTTACTGTTTTAATAACCAAAAACTGATAAAAAATTATCTTTTTTTTAATGTTTTATTTATGAGAGAGAGAGAGAGAGCAGGGGCGGGGCAGAGAGAGAGAGAGAGGGAGACACAGGATCACAGGATCCGAAGCAGGCTCCAGGCTCTGAATTAGCTGTCAGCACAGAGCCCGACGCGGGGCTTGAACCCACGAACCATGAGATCATGACCTGAGCCGAAGTCGGACACTTAACCAACTGAGCCACCCAGGTGCCCCAAAAATTATCTTTAAAGATAGGTTTCCAAAGAAGGCTAAATTTAATCGAACAGTTCCAAGTAAGTAGTGAATTTTCTGTAATTCTTGTCTCCCTCTCATCTCCATCCTCAAATCACTTTTCCTTGGAACGAAATCAAGGTACAGAAAATCAATTAACAGTATGAACAATTCGCACTGTTTCCCGATCAATCTAACACGGTGCAAAGGAAAAGTTGTAAGAGCAACAGAGTGTTCGTGTGAGTCCACTTGCAGCAAGGAGCACTCTGCGTTCAACCTCCTGGCTGTGAGGACTCAAGAGTAGGGTGGCCGCCCACACTGGGGTACTTTTACGCATGGCAGGGAGTGCTGCGGATATCCTGTCTTCGATGACATGCAGGAGCCTGGACTACAAACTAGATAGAACTCAGTGACTCTTGCAGATCGAGAAAATCAACTCATGCTGACAAGGCTTTCTTAAGAGCTTTGACTTCTATCTGAACAACGACTGTTTACACAATAAATAACTTCAACAGGGCTTTGCATTTTACAAAGCTCTTTGACACAAATTATTGTTTCATTCTTCACACTAGCTCTATGAGTTAGCCGAGCATGTATTCATTCAATGACAAGTTCTTACGCCTATTTTCCAAATGAGAAAGCGGAAGGAAATGTCTGTGAAAAGGAAGGTGGCACAATGAGGTGTTGGAGCTAGTTCTTAAAGCCACATCTCTCACTCGGGTCCGTGCCCTTGGACATCGTGGCTCCAGGAAAGTCATTATAATGACAGCACACAGCAGCCAGGGAAGGCCTGGAAGATTCCAAGGCCTGCATTCCTCTGTGGGGGAAATGATCGGTAACCAATAACGAATTTTTTAGTGGTTCTTTTAAAGACTTGTGGTGGAGGGTGATAAAGGGATGGGAATTAAGAGGAATTTTTAATGAACTTGAGTTTCTGCTTTTCTAAGGTATGTATAGTTCATTAAGAGAATACAATGTTGCTTTCTGATTAGGTCACACTCTGAATTGTTTGGAGGCAGCTGATGGAGTCCTGAAGGGCCGTCTCCCACTCTGTGGACACGGATAGACCCATGACTTTACAGATGGTATCTTTTGGTCTGGGTCCAAGTATTCACAGCTGAGAATACTGGTGTTTTCTGAAGAACATGAGACATTGTGTGCTCACACCTGTGGACCACAAGGGCCTTCCATACATGTTTTAAAGATAAAATATTAACAATCTGAATGTTACTAATATTCAAGAGATGTTCTAGAGTCTTCCAATAAATTGTAAGTATCAGAAGGTAAAGAAGAGAAAGGCATTTAACTAAAATTTACTGGGTCAAAAGAGACTCTGAGAAATCGTTCAGTCAGGATGCCCATATCAGGTGAGAGCAATACTCAAGATATCCCAAAATTTAGCATGTACTTTTTTTCCTCAAGTTTTAGAGAATGAACTCCAGACAGACATTCCCATGACCTATATCCCATGAAATTAAATTATTTTGCTCAAGCCTAGCCATCCAACATGAAATCTCTTATATCACCCTTTGGAGATACTAAGGAAAATAACATGGTAGTTTTAAATATGAGACCTATTGATGTACCTCTGCTTATCTGTATATACAAGAAAGCAGGCACCTGATGCTCAAAGGCATAATCTGAATGGTCACCAGAGGAGAGGGAGGGACGAGGATGGGCAAAATAGGTCAAGGGAATGGGAGATATAGGCTTCCAGTTACAGAATGAAGGAGTCACAGGGATAAAAGGTACAGCACAGGAAATATAATCAATGATACTGTAATAGTCACTGTATTCTGACAGATGGTAGTGACACTTAAGAGTACAGCGTAACTAGTATAGTTATCCAATCAGTATGTTGTACACCTGAAACGAATGTAATGTTGTGTGTCAACTATACTAAAATAAAAAGAAGGAAGAGACAATATGAAATGAAATGTCTTCCTCATTTAACTTGACTTTAGCAATATAAATCAAATGGCTCTATAAAGAGATGGCAGATTGAGGTGGAAAGATTTGTTTTGGCCTCTGTATTCTTTTTTTTTTTTTTAATGTTTTATTTATTTCTGAGAGAGAGAGAGAGAGAGAGAGAGAGAGAGCGAGCGAGAGCGCGCGCTCGCGTAAGCAGGGGAGGGTCAGAGAGAGAGGGAAACACAGAATCCAAAACAGCCTCCAGACTCTGAGCTAGCTGTCAGCACAGAGCCTGACACGGGCTCAAACCCAAGAACTGTAAGATCATGACCTGAGCTGAAGTTGGATGCTTAACCGACTGAGCCACCCAGACGCCCCTGGCCTCTGTATTCTCTATGCACTCTACATCTCTCTCTTATCACACTGGAAATTCTGTGTTAGAATGACCTATTCATATACTGGTTTACTCCATCACACTGTCAACTAGAGGATACGGGTTATGGGTTTTTTAAAAATAATAAATCCCTAGTGCTTAGATAGTGCTAACACCAGATGAATAAACAAGCTCTCAGGACATAAAAGTATCAAGTCCACAGTGAAGAATGGTAGAAATTAGAAGTAACAGTTGGTGGGGAAAACAAGGGAACAACAGCACAGACCATTCAGCTATGTTTAATTCCCATGGTAAAACAAATGAGGTTTTCACGCTAAAGGACTTCTACTTCCACAAGGATCCTCATGTGACTATAAGGAACATAAGTCCACTATAGTAAGGCCTGTGAGGACAGGGACCCTGTTTTGCTCACCCAGTGCCTCTCATGGTCCCAGGCACAGAACAATTAGTCAATAAGTAGTAGATGGTGGTTGAGTGGTAGGTGGATAAATGAATGGATGAAAAGGTAAACTGACTAAATGGTGAACCTCAGCCTGCTAATTAAAATTCCATTGAACCATATCATTTCCTACGAATGGCTGCTCATGCAATACTTGCAATAGCACTTATTTGTCCTTCTAAGCAACAAGCCAGATTCATCTGCTCTGTTAAGATCTTTTCCCACATGGACCCCACCACCCTCAACAAAACTAGGTATAATGGAAAATGCTTTCACTGAGGCTAGAAAGAATTACTTCCATCTTGATTCTCACTGTTCTTGAGTGACTTCAGTCTTAGATGCTGTCTGAAGTAGGTTTCCGATGCCCTCATGAGCTGTGCACTTGGCCTCTGCCTTCCTCTGTTTATCCCCATACTGGACACAGGGCTCTCCCAAGGACCACACAATGACTGTTGGATGTCTGGAAGCAACTGCATTGTCTATTCAACTCTGTGTTTACAGGCTATTTGCTTCTTTGTATCACTGAATGGAACAGACCATGAATCACAGGTTCAATGAAATTACGGCGTAGGTGTACAATCATTGCAGGGAATAGGGAACAAAAAGAGAATTCTATACCAGCTTTGATATGTGTGAAGATCGCCTTAAATGGTTTTTGGAAATGTCACAACAAAGATATGCAATAATGTACCTGGGCACACAGATAGAAAAAACTGGGTCATATGCATCATTTCAAAAGAGAATAGGAAAATGATTACCTCTTATACATTATTTGATAGTAAACAATGCACCCACATACATCATTCTCACTGACTGTCAAAATGATTCTGAGAGATAAGCAGGGCATGTGTTTGAATCTCTATTTTAAACAGAGAAAATCAATGCTTTAAGAGGTTCTCTGACTTAACCTCATGCAAGCCAGTATGAGTGTGTGTGTTCTGATAGCAGAACTGGAACCAAGCTCCTAAATTCTAGCAAAGCCTGAAGGCTTTAGGGATAACCTTTTTTTCTATAGCAAATGCAATGTATAGTACCTGGTTTATTTCCGGAGTAGTTGCTATTTTGTCCTGAAATAGCAGAGGGCCGGTTGGACGTGGTTTTCTTATCATGCACTTTGTAGCTGTCAGGCGCTATACAAGTGAGACAAAAGAGAAAAGACATATTTAGTTTCTTAAAATTTATTCAGAAACATTCACCTATTCAACATTTACTGTTATCACACGAAACGATGCTCAGCATTCCTCCTCATCAGGGAAATACAAATCAAAACCACACTGAGATACAAACTCAGGCCGGTCAGAGTGGCTAAGATAAGCAAATCAGAGGACTCTAGATACTTGCAAGGATGTGGAGAAACGGGCACCCTCCTACATTGCTGGTGGGAATGTAAACTGGTGCAGCCCCTCTGGAAAACAGTGTGGAGCTTCCTCAAAAAATTGACACTTGAACTCCCCTATGACCCAGCAATAGCACTGCTAGGAATTTACCCAAGGGATACAGGAGTGCTGATGCATAGGGGCACATGCACCCCAATGTTCACAGCAGCACTCTCAATAGTCAAAACATGGAAAGAGCCTAAGTGTCCATCAATGGACGAATGGATCAAGAAGATGTGGTTTATCTATACGATGGAATACTACATGGCAGTGAGAAAGAATGAACTCTGGCCATGTGTAGCAACATGGATGGACCTTGAGGGTGTTATGCTGAGCGAAATAAGTCAGGCAGAGAAGGACAGCTACCATATGTTTGCACGTATAGGAGGACTAGGAGGAACTTAATGGAGGACCATGGGGAAGGAGAAGGGGGGAAATAGGGGGGGAGAGGGAGGGAGGCAAACCATGAGAGATTCTTGAATGTTGAGAACAAACTGAGGACTGATGGGGTTGGTGGAGANGGGGAGAGGGGAAGGGGGGTGATGGGCATGGGGGAGGGCACTTGTGGGGATGAGCACTGGGTGTTATATGGAAACCAACTTGACAATAAACTATTAAAAAAAATTTACTGTTAACCTTTGTGTTGGGTACTACACTAGATTCAGGAAATAAAAAGATGAAGCAGGTACAACTCTTGCCTGTTCAGTGGTAAGGATATGTACCAAAACCAACGGCTGTGGCTCCTATAGCAGTGGCATGTTCAAGGGTCCATGAAATCATTTACCCTGGCTGTCCAGTTTATACATAAAGCAACCATGTGGAAGCATGATTGGTATCCAAAGTCACTGATCTTAGTTCTTACAAGTTCATGCACTAGGAACCCCAAAATTCCAAGAATATATAACCAAAAAAGTGGGTCACCAAAAAGGAACCAGGAGATATAATTTACTAGGATTTTGAAGAAGGCTCTGACAAAAGTTCCATTACAACAATTATTTTTTTTAATTTACATTTTAAATTTACACCCAAGTTAGTCAGCATATAGTGCAACAATGATTTCAGGAGTAGACTCCTTAATGCCCCTCACCCATTTAGCCCATCCCTCCTCCACCACCCCCTCCAGTAACCCTCTGTTTGTTCTCCATATTAAGAGTCTCTTATGTTTTGTCCCCCTCCCTGTTTTTGTATTACTTTTGCTTCCCTTCCCTTATGTTCATCTGTTTTGTATCTTAAAGCCCTCATAGGAGTGAAGTCATATAATATTCCATAACAATGATTATTAAAGAGACTAAAGGAAATGTATTCTAGGAAAAGAATGAAGGGCAGAAATATCAGGTAATTGGTTATACAAGTGAGGGATCCTATACTTTAAATATATTACTCTTTTTTCTTTACCCATATTACTTTATTTAATGTATTTTCAGAGGATATTTAAAGGATGTCAGCTACTGATTCAGATAAAATCATGCCAAAAAACGAGCCCGTGAGTTTCCCTGCCTCCTGCTCTCTGCCTTAAAACCTGCAATGCCCAGTCTTCCCCACCAATTAAGGCAATTCCATCCTTCCAGATGATCATACCCCAAGCCCTAGACTCATCCTTGACTCCCCACGTTCAATCTGCTTAGTAAGGTCTTTCAGCTCAACCTTATAGAACATCTTGCCACCTCTACTGCTAGTTTTCTGGTCATCTCCTCCCTGTGTGGCTGCGATATCCTCTTACCCAGTCTCCCCAATCCTCTCACTGACCCACATTAGTCTGTTCTCATCTCAGCAGCCAGAGGGATCCCATTAAAACACAAGTCATGTTGCTCTTCTGCTCAGAACTCTCCAACAGCTCCCACTCTGCTCAGAGTAAAACCCAAGGTCTCCACCATGGCCCAGAAGGTACTATATGATTTGGCCTTTACCTTGTACCGCTTTCGCCTTAATTACTCAGTTCTAGTCATACTTAGTCCATCGCAGACCTTTGCACGGACTTGATATGTTCTTGTCTCAAATACCCACGTGGATTTCTGAGTCTCTGCTCAAATATGACATTACAGAGTTCCACTGATTTGTATATACCTTTTTAAAAAATGTATTTATTTACTTTTGTCGGGGAGGGACAGAGAGAAAGAGAGACAGAATCCCAAGCAGGCTCTGTGCTGTCAGCACAGCACCTGACCTGGGGCTCAGTCCCATGAATTGTGAGGTCATGACCTTAGCTGAAATCAAGAGTTGGATATTTAACGGACTGAGACACCTAGGCGCACCCCCAACCCCTTTAATTGTTTAAAGTATCACCCCCACCACTCATCACTTTGCACACCTAAGCCTGCTTTGTTTACAGCCCTTGCTTGCCCTCTGACATACTAGCTCCCTCTCCATGAGGCTGAGGAAATTGGACACTATCTAGAAAATAAGAATCATTTGCTCAAGAGTTTTTGAAACTGAAAGGGTGTTATAATAATTATGCTTCAAGAAGACTACATTTAAAAATTGTACCCAAGATGTATTAAAAACAACTTACTAAGAAAATAAATTCCCTAAAATTACCTTTGACATCTAAATGGGGAATGCACCAAAGTTTTACAGCTCTCTTTCAATTACATACAATATTAGCTCTGGAAAATCAAAGAGTAAACAGTAAAATTATCTTATACAGCTCTTTTAGAATTGCTCTGTTTTGATCTGTGTGCTTTAAATAACAGCTTCAAATAGAAACATTGATTGGTTGAAGTTTTATTTATTAAGCTTCCTTTGCTTTATTTGCAAGGAAAGGTCTGTAAAGATACAGTAGAAAAAGAGCAGATAGCAAATAAAAAAATTAAACCATAAAAGGCCTCTCTCCATGGTTTCTGATAGGACTTTGCCACTAGAAATTTTACCAGGCAAACTATCATTGGAAAAGAGCTACACTGTACATACTTAACACATAGGCTCTGACACTGATCTAGAAGGGAAATCAGAAAGTAGCTGGGGGTTCTTCAACACCCTAACATATCCTCTCATCCCACTTGCCAAAAATGAGTTGCCAGTTATCACCATGTGGCAGGTGAAACCCATGCCAATTAGCCTTGGCCTATGGTCTCACAACTTTAGAGATAGCCCAGCCCCTAATGATAAAAAAAATTGACTGCACTTGGTACCTTTCTTGCTTACTGTGTATAGAACAATCTTTCTCCTTATTCTGCAAGTTAATCTTATTAAAATTGCTCATAAATAAGTCAGTTATTAAGTAACATAACAGAAGGAAGCAGGATGCAGCACATACTTGGTGTCCTAGGATTATAATTTTCTTTTTGCTATAGGGCTACCTCCAGCACACAAGTAAAGCCTTAATTAGTAAGCTTTTTAAGGGTCTCCTATGTATTATTTTTAATTAACTGAAAAGGATGTAGAACCATTTGTTTAGAATATATTTCAAATGTACTCATTTCTTTCTTGCCTTAATATTTGACATAATTTAATCTTTCTCTGGTGATTGCCTTTCTGCTGTGTCCCCAGGTCCTCACAACAAACATCAGTCCAGAGTATTACACAACAGTCTGCCATGAAGGAGATTAAAAAGGCTAAAACACATGTTCAGTCCAAGTGATTATTCCAAAAATAACTAATAAAAGCTTCTTTGGGGGGGCATAATTTGCTTTAGTATCTTGAAATTCAAATGTAAAAAATACATTTCAGTCAAACTGGAAGCCTGGTTACTCGAAACCCAATCCATCTACATCTGACTTCCACTGGATCTGCTCTAGTTGAAGATCTATCAGCTTGCCCTCTTTATTACCATCTGAATCTCAGTAATCTATTTCCATTCCAGAAGACATCCTATGCATTTCTATCCTAAGAAGACTGAGTCCTATCTACAAGAGAAATTTAAAATTTCTAAAATTTCCATGTTCATGAAAACATTTAATTTAGTAAAACAAAAGTAATTTAAAAAATGGTCTGTTTAGCCCAAGATTACATACTGTTAATGTCTAACCTTTAGGTTGGACATTCATCTGAAGTTTTCAGGTTACCTTTCTGCTTTTCTATCAGCCTTTCCCTTGCACCACTTATTTCTCCAAAAGCTTCTCTGGCTGACACTCTATTGTGATAAGAGGGAAGATATAAAATCAAACAGATCTGGGCTCAGGTGACATTCAGAAAGTTTCTTGACTTCTCTGAGTAGGTAACAGGGCTGCTGGAAGATGAATGGAGAAGATGTATGTTTAGAGTCTGCCACACAGCTTAGCACACCAACAGGAGCTTTACAACCATTCCTTTTCTCTCTTTCCCCCTTCCACTGAGGTAGCGGCCTCCCCACACCCACAATACTTGCATGCGTGATGTGGCAGTGTGTTTGCAAGTACCGAGGAAATGATATGTGCTGTGGTGTCAGCTAACCTGGCTGTGTCCTCAATGGGCTGTGAATCCTTAGCACATCACTCAACCTGTCCATCTTATTTTTCCCATCTGTAAAGAAGGGACAACACTTACTTTCAGGCTGTGAAAATTAATGAGAATGCTGGGCCACCACGAGGCTCAATAAATGGTAGGAAGCATTTTTTGGCTCTCTCCTTATTCCCTACCCTAATGTGGGAAACCGGGTTTCTATGTCTCCAGGGCTTGGCTCACCCAGCACTAACAGGGAAAGTCAACTTGGTGACAGTGGTCCTAGGGTGCAAAGTCTGACCCACCTGCTGGCTTCAGAGGTTTTTTTTAGCTCAGCTACAGTTACACCTTTTGGGGGGCCCTCAGGTAGGCCAGGCTTATTGGTAGGATTTCTAGGG